AACATTTGCGGACAATTCAATCCGGTTTTTAACCGGAACTGTGTTTTCAGACACACCACTTTTGTACCAGAACTTGTCCTTTCGGCTGCGTTCACACAGCAGGGAAAAGTTCCAGATGTCTGACGGCGGCGGGGGTGGGGTGGGGGGGAATCGGACTTATGTTAAGAAGAAGAAGAAGAAAATATCATTTCTATAGCGCCCCTCAAGATAAAAATCACGAGGCGCTTAAGCATTATTCTGCGCACACGAAGACACATAAGAGACCTCGATGATGAAGCTCAATGGTTAAAGGAATCACTGAAGCGGTGTGAAGCGCTCCGTTGCGCGTCTAGGCGGTACCGTAGGAGGCGAGCTGCCGTGGTTCGCTGCATGCTACAGCAGCGGGCTATCTAGGTACGCACAGCGTCCCCCGGTCCCCTCCTCCTCCCCCTCCCCCTTGTCCGGAACTTTACCTCACCAGTCTGAAGCAGCCACCCTGTCCGTAACAAGTCCGGACCTGTTACTAGGGGCTTCGTCCGGATAAATTCCGGAACACGTTATCCGGATGTTTGTATTCAGACAGAAAGGTCTTACGGACAGATTCTGGAACATTTCCGTTTTTCATGGCCTGTCTGAAGGGGGCTTTATTCTCACCTGGATTCCTGTTCGTTTACCTCTTTTCCTCCGACGTTTTCCCGGGACCGGACAAACATCGCTGGAGGCTTTCTGGTTGAAATTGTCGTTTCGCTCTGTGCCAGTGCGCCACTCAGATAAACAAACAGGGAGGTATGTCCTCAGTGCACCTTGGGCAATCATGAACGAACGGAAGGACAAAAGAGTCTGGCGATCATAGGAGATGGTAGTAGGGACACTACTGAAGAGGTTCACCGACGGGAGCAAGGTGGAAAAGAGGTGGTTAGTGGAGAAAAGTTTGAAAAAGTGGCCGGTGACCACGGCTATGCCAAGCACAGGCGTCATCTTGTTACCGACCTTGTTACTGTATACAGTAAAATAATATTTTAGCCTCCTTATCTTAATGACACTTAAAAAAATCTTAATCTTTCTTTTTGTCTTGGGAATATTAAAGTGTGAATTATACCATATGTGGAGAATTATTTGCCATCTACTTCCTACCCCCCCATCCAACCACCTTCCTCTCATGGTCTGTCTTTACTCCTGTAGATTTCCAGGACATTTGATATAAGACACACTTAAAACACTGGATTTAAACACTTAGGTTCATTCAACAAAATATGAGCTAGGAAAGAGGAGCTTTGTTTAGAGAGTAAAAGTCTCGTCTTCTGCATGAGACCTTGGGTATTACGGCTTCACTTCTTGGTAACAAGGTCATAGAGCAGTGGGTTTTCTGGTTTGAAGGCCAGACAGTTGAGATGTTGCACACAAGACTCTAGGCAGATGAAACAGCCTGGACACTTCCGTGAGATGACCTCTGACCTTTCTGTGGACAAATAACCAAATTGTTGGCCTTTGGTTTGCTACACAGGACTGTAGAATGCGATATATCAAATACAGGCCATTTATTCAACACTCAGACTTCTCTGTAACTCCTGCTTGCAACTTGCAAGTTGCAAATTGAACAGAAAAGGTTGCACTGTTTTCTACAAAATAAGAGAGTAAAGCAATTTTTTTATTTTTTGTCTTTCTGCTGGACTGAAAACAGTGATTTGATCCGAACCGTGAGATTTTTGATCCGTCACAGCACTAGACGTCATTAAATGTGACTAAAATTGACTAACTAGATTAAAAATGGCTGGTCTCCATTTAGTTTCTGTGGGTCAGAAAGTCGTGTAACATCGATTTGGTAACGTTTGGCACATTGTTGGGTCAAGTGAGACATTTAAACTGAGTTACAATGAAAAAACTGTTGCAACTTTTTATGTTCCACATGACTCTGGTAGAGGTGTCGACTCATGGTGTTTCCTAAGAAATGAGCAAGGGTATTCTGATCAAGTTTTAGACTGCTTATCTCATAAATATTTCTGTCTAGTTTTGAAGAGCACTACAGGCTACATGATTAGGGTAAAGGAACCATATCATCACCTTAACTCATTCACTGCCAGCCGTTTCCTGATCATAAAGCCCTTGGCTGCTAGCATTTTTCTGTTTTTGAAGAGTCGCAGAAAATTGTGCTCTATGATCATGCAAACACCAAAACTACCAAAAGAAAGACTATACTCACTTCTTAAATCAGGAAGAATCCACGTGTTTCTAGCGTTGTGCTTCCTTTCATAATTGGTTTTCGTATCGAGAGGCAAAAGTTTTTCCAATTCCCGCCTCAGTTTTTTCACAGCAGCCACCCAAAACAATCTCCTAACACATGGATTTTCTGCTTCCTGATCATGTGACGTGTAACCTACACGGATGAAGATTAGTTTTAGAGCCGTGATGTTTGTTCTCACGGTGCGGGGGCTCGTTCCGGCGCCTGCCCCGTTAATAAAAAACTTAAATTAAAGAGCAAATTGCAAGTTAAAGACTCCCATGAACCGATGTTTAGAGAAATGTATTAGAAAGTTGTTTTAAACATTTTTACACAGACAAATTATTTAGGCTTTTAGGGAAATTTTTGTGAGTTTTTTTTTGGGGGGGGGGCAAACCAATTGACGTCAGCGACCTGTTGGCTTAATCCAGAGAAAATCTGGACTCTAATGTTGCTCTGACACAGAGGAACCGTTAAATGTTTATAATTCTACTTCTAATGGACCAGAACCATAAAGTTATGAGTTTGCTGCACGCCCCAGAGAGCAGAGACAAACCAGAGGCAGAAACCATTGGCCAAAGCAGAGAGATTGTGCTGCCATGTGAGGAGAAGCAGCGGGGGGGCAGCTTGAGTTAAACGTGTTAGCTTAAACTCATGTGTAGGGCTGAAACGATTCCTCGAGTACCTCGAATAATTCGAGTACAAAAATCCTCAAGTCAAATTCTCTGCCTCAAAGCTTCGTTTAATTCATGTTTGATTAATTCATGGCTTTGCAATCACCCAGGGTGATGTTTCACCCGGACCGAAATAAGTGACGCACATACACTCCACTGAATGCACACGCGAGTAGCGAACGCAACTTAACTTTCTTTTAAGCCATGGCGGACAACGTGGACCCTGGTGGAGTGCGAAAAAGACACAAAATGTCAAAGCTGTTGGACCATTTTTCACGTCGTGAGGTGGAAAACGTAGTCCAGTGTAAATACTGTAAAATGGATTTAGCCTACCACAACACCACATTCCTCGATGCTGCAACCTGACCAGGAAGCATCCACATGTAAATGTCACTTCTGCAAGCGGACTCAGAGCCTCTACAAGATAATGCACTTTAGCCTGTATTTCTATGTATTTTGCAGACACTGTGCGACTTTTTCGTTTGTAGCACTCAGTTTCAGCTCACACCGTACGTCTGGTAGCAACACGTCGGACTTAAAATGTGCTAAAAATAGCTGTTTTTACAACACGTCGGACTTTTTACTGTGTTGTTGATGTCCGTTTGTCCCTCAGGATCGCTGCAGGAGGACACAGGTATTTATGAGAGTGATGGAGGAAAACGAAAGAAACTAAATAAATGTTTTGTGATCTGTATAATTTGACATAACAACGGCAAACATGCTTTCGACAATCCTTGTTAGTGTGAGACAAAAAAATGTAGAAATTAAAACAAGCGTGTGTTAATAGGGAAACAGCTGGCGAGCCATGTTTGCGCATGCGCCGTGAGCGGTTCTGGGGCTGTTTGGGCCGCAGCCGCTCGCATTTGTTTACTGTGAAGTAAAGTTGAAGTGCTGAAGTTTTGAAAACTACCGGTAATTTTGAATAAAACTTGAAGAATAACTGGCAATTACTTTCTCATTTCAAGAGGTCTTTCATATTTTATAACATGCTATTTGATATAATGGTTTAAAAACGCAAAAGAGTAATTTATTAGAGTACTCGATTAATCGATAAAAGATTCGATAGAGTACTCGATTACAAAAATATTCGATAGCTGCAGCCCTACTCTTGCAATCATCACAATATAGTACAGATTACCATCATGTACCAGACAGTTAAAGTAGAATCAGTTAGTTAATATAATAGTAACACTAATGAGCGTCTGTCAGCTGTCTCATACTCGTTAATATCCGTTCACCTAACCTACTTTAGCTTAGAGATGCCTGTCATCCGGTTCTGGAGCTCATGCGGGCTTCTGTGAGCTGGATCCGACCCAGACACCAGTGAGTCAGTCCAGCTGGGATTTTTAAAAGCTGCACATGATCCTCTCCTGGAGGTCCGCAGCAGTTCTGATCTGGATTCGACCCGGAAACCAGCTGGCCCGCTGAGCAGCGCGTCTCTTCTGGTGGTCGGTTCTGACCTGGTTCTGACAGTGGTCTGAGCTCCAGAAATCCACATTTAATTTTTTAAACCCCTCCACGAATCTCCGGAGTCCAGCGTGGACCTCCCTGACCTGGTACCGACTGATGAGGACTACAGAAGTCCATCTTTTCAGCTGCACCAAACGCCCTCAGGCACGGAGATAGAGGCGTTGTTCCTCTTGTCTGGAAACCCGTGGACTCGATGTCCAGACAGGCTGGAGTTGGTACAGCCTTCATACTCTAGTTTATCAACATGAACACAGTCCAACACTAGTAAACACACACAATGACTAGATCACATGACCTCTCTACCCTAAATTAGCCACTCTCCACACTGAGCTGAGGCAGCCTAGCTTCTAACTACCTTTGGTTACGTCAGAGGTTCACATTTAGAAACAAGAAAGGCCACTTTTTACTAGAAAACTCTTCTGTTATGGATTTTAAAACCAAATATCCACAATAAGCTTTTCTAATAGTATTTTATATGAATTATAAAAAAAAAACCTACACTTTGCTCTTTAAATTAGACAAAAACATGTATGTATTTATTTAAAAAAAAATTCAAGAAAAAATATAAAAAAGAAAACCTAGCTGCACAATCAGTTTGTTTGGGCCTTCTGGGCCTCCTGCTCCCAACACCCTTTATGTGAGTGTGCTATGTCTTCTAGACCATTCATGCTGCTGAACTCATCGACTCAGAATTCCGACCCGGGATGAGCAGTCGTCAGAAGAACAAAGCCAAGAGAATGGCTAAACTAGTGGCAAAGCAAAAATCCAGAGACTTGGATCCTAATGAAAAAAGGTACAGTCATCAACATACTTATGCTCATGTTTCATCACTGCGATCCACATTTATTAAAATGGTTTGACCCATTTTATTATATCTGTGAATCTTTGCTGCTTTAGTTCTGATTCAACAGCTTTGTTCTCTTCTAGTAATGACAGCTTTGAAGGTGAACCCGAGGAGAAACGACGAAAAACAACCAACGTCGTCATTAACCAGCCCGCAGCAGAACATAAAGTCGTAATAGACAACATTCCAAGTAACTCCAGTCTTCTGGAGGAGGTACGAAATATAAGCAAACAGCTTTTACTTGTGAGAAATTCCTTGTCTGAAATACATTTGTGATTCCTTCATCTTCAGACGCAGGAGTGGCCTCTGGAGAGCTTTTGTGAAGAGCTGTGCAATGATCTCTTCAATCCGTCATGGGAGGTAAAAAGTGAAGGATTAGTATGATGTTTCACATGGTGGTGGGAGAAACCCTGGGACGTTGGTGTGTAATGATTATGTGGTTTACAGGTTCGTCATGGTGCTGGCACGGGTCTTAGAGAGATCCTCAAGTCCCATGGAGCTGGTGGTGGGAAGGTAGTAGGAAGCACATTGGAGCAGGTATTTCTGAGCCCATGTGTTTAAATGTGTGTGTATGTGTGTGTATGTGTGGGGGGGTCCGGAGTTTTATGCTGTTCTGCTGGTTTGGTCTAGATGTTGAGACAGCATCAGGAGTGGATAGAAGACTTGGTCATCCGTCTGCTTTGTGTCTTTGCTTTGGACCGCTTTGGAGACTTTGTGTCTGATGAGGTATTTTTGTCTAATGAAATATTCGTACATAATTTGTTAGCATTTTTATTTATATAATAGTTTAGGAATACGGTTAGGTTTAGATGGTAGTTTTATCTGTTCTTTGGTAGGTGGTGGCTCCTGTCAGGGAGACGTGTGCCCAGTCTCTTGGTGTTGCCCTTCGCCACATTAATGAAAGCGGAGTGTCCAAAACAGTGGAGGTCCTGCTAAAGCTGCTGAAGGATGACCAGTGGGAGGTTCGTCATGGAGGCCTGCTCGGAATCAAATATGCCTTGGCTGTTCGTCAGGTAACACCGTTTAACACTACAGAACTGTGCAAAGGTTAATATAATGATGTGGAAAAAAATAATGACAATGAAATTATGACACGTCTCTCCTTTATGTTAATATTGTTTTAATTGATGCACTCCACTTGGAACTGCACCAATCCAGCAACTGCTGCATTTTAATAACTACTATTAAAGGTGTCCCTTTAAGAAGCTGTACCACCTTGAGTCACGTAAAGATGCGACTCAATGTAATACATGTGACAGCCCCATCTAGTGGACAACTTTTGTTTCAGCGCATACCTGTAGTTATCGTCCATTTATCGTTATCGAGGTGAATACACCAATATTTAAACAAGAATAATTTTGTTTTAAACTCTCAGTGACGCACTTTGCCGGAGGATTTGGCATTTAATTTTTCTTGCCATCTGGAAAAACATTTCCTTTTGCCCCCTTTATTTGACTTTCTGCCCCTGTATTTTGGTCCAAGACCATTACTGGGCTGGCCCTATTAAACACGTTCTACACCCCTGCTTAGTAGACTTAATGAAGTATTTTTAAGCCAGTATGAAATGACTGAAACACAAATTTACATGTTTGGCATTATTGACCAATATCTTTGATTTAATTTATTTGTTAAGAACATCAAGATGCATTACAGTGAACATTATAATAAAGTAAATTTTTCTAGTGCAGACAGGAGACAACCCATAGAAGCACTGATTTGATCTCATTTCATTTCTAATAAATAAAATTACTAACAAACTCAATACATCATCATCAATAGATTATTTTAAATCTGAAATTGATATGGATTGATCAGAAGTTGCTATGTGTTATTGTTTATTTGCAAACTATTTACAGAGCAACCTCAGAACTGAGATTAAATATTTTTGATTACAATAGTAAAGGAACTATTACAGAACAAGTTTTTCAATTTAATCAGAACATTAATATTTAAGTGCATGAATTAGTCCATCTGAACTCATGCAGTAGGAACTAGGAAATATGAAATACTAGAACCAGACACAACTTTAAACATTTTTTTTATTTATTTTGATTAAACAGATTTTTTCCTAACGTTGTTGGCATTTTCCCCACACACAGTTAAACAAATCAATGTTGATTAAAGGCTGGCCAGCTGGCTGGCTCTGTGTGTGTGTGTGTGTGTGTGTGTGTGTGTGTGTGTGTGTGTGTGTGTGTGTGTGTGTGTGTGTGTGCTCACTCGTGGCATTCTTTCTACCATAGAAAATGAAATATTCTTCAGAAAGTGCTTCCATATCTGCTGCAGAAGTTCCCATAAATGTGTGGCACTTGTAGGTTGCTTTGCTTTCACTCTTCTGTCCATTTCATTCCAAACCAGCTCCATGGGGTTTAAGTCTGGAGCCCTGAGGTAGTTCTGGCGTAGCTTGGACTTATGTTTTGGGTCATCATCTTGCTGTAGGATGAATCCCTGACCTACTAGGCCCATGCCAGAGGGTACTGCATGGTGTGGAGAATTCTGTGGTAGTCGTTTTGGTTCATGGTGCCTCTCACTCTGTACAAGCCACTGACCTTGAATCCAGCAAAACAGCCCCAGACCATCACACTTCCTCCTCCCATGTTTGACAGTTGATGCCACACTGTGGAACCATCCTTTCACCTACTCGACAGTGTACAAAGATCCTGCGTGATGAACCGAAGATTTCAAATTTGGATTCATCACTCCATAATACCTTCTTCTAGTCTTCAGCAGTTCAGTGGTGGTGTTTCATGGCCCAGGCAAGCCTCTTTCTCTTATTCTGACGTCTTAGCAGTGGCTTTCTTGCTGCAACTTGTCCTGTCAAACCTGCAGCTCCAAGTCTTCTGTTCACAGTTGAAACTGAGACTTGCTTACTACGACCACTATTAAGCTGTGCTTGAAGCTGTTGTCCTGTGAGCCACCTATCACTCAAGCTGTTAACTCTCAGAAACTTGTCCTCTGATGCAGTTGTGGCTTTGGGTCTGCCAGATCTCTTCCTGTCAGAGTTTGCCCCAGAGTGCCTTTTGATATGGAAGGAAACTGTGCTCACTGACACCTTGTTTTTCTTTGCTATTTCTGTGTAGGAAAGACCCACATTTTTAAGTGTTATGATGGTCTGTCTCTCTTCCATTGTTAATTGCCCCTTTCTCACCATTTTTGTAGCAACACTATTATCTGCAGTACAGTACTGTTCAACTGATGCTCATGAGGTTATGGTACCACAGTATGTTCCAACACAGCTTTTATGCAGACAGAGGGGATTGTTAGTAATCCAGAAAATTTGGAACACCTGTGGGAATTAGTAGCACCACTTTCTAAGCTTGATCAACCTCCACAGCTGCAGAACCGCTTTGCTCCCTGAAAATGGCCTTTTTGTTTAATTCATTTTTTTTATTTAAAGTTTTTTTTTATTAAGTTTTCCAAATTTTTACATACAAACAAAAACAAAATACCAAAATACCCCCCCCCCCCCCCCCCCTCACAGCACAGGAAAACCACACACAACCACAATTCATAATAATTTCAAAACATGCTGTCCAACAACTTTTATATCTTTTCACTAATAAAAAACAAAAATTCAATCCAGGTATCAAAATGTGAGTCTTTTTTTCCTTCATTTTAGCAATAAATAATTCATAAGATGCAATCTCCGTCATCGTTATTATCCAGTCTCTGTAAACAGGTGCCTCAAAACTTTTCCATTTACGCAGTATGACTCTAGCTGCTGACATAAAACCTGTAAGAGCCAGGGCCCCTGTCGTTGTAGATATATTCTGTACACACGACAAGTCTCCTAATAAACAAAGTCGAGCAGTTTCCGGGAGTGGTTTATCCAACCACTCTTGCATTGTATTCAATATGTTTTCCAAAAAGGTTGAACAACGTAGCATGACCACACAGAATGAATAAAAGTACCTTACTGCCTTTTACATTTCCAGCATAAATTATTCTTCATTAAACCCATTTTATAAAGATGAACCGGTGTAAAATAATATCTATCGATTATCTTATAATGTGTCCGCTTTCCTCGTGCTTCCCTGGTAAACCATCCCATATTGGACATTATCCTTTGCCATGAATCTCTATCCAACCGTATGCTTAAATCTCTTTGCCAAACATGCCATCATAATTTCCATATAATACTTTGTCTGCCATCTTATAAAATATAGATGCTGACTGATACTTTTCTGCTAATTTTAAATAGAGCTGTACAACATTGTCCTCTTCAGGCGACCCCTTAACTAAACTGTCCAAGCTACTTCTTATTTGGAAATATCTCCATAAATTACCTATGCTATCCATGTTAAATTGTAGCCTCAAATCCTGATAAGATTTCACTGTTTTGTTCTCGATTAGATCCTTTAACTTTCTCATGCCTCTCTCTCTCTCTCCACGTATTCCAACAGAGGACTTCCTTCCCCACCCTTATTGCTGGGTTATACCATATTGATGAATATAATTGTTTATAATGTGATGTCTTTAACCACTTGTGGAGTTTGATCCAGAAATTTTTAGAACGCTGTAATATTGGATTACTCTCTTTATACTCTTGTTTCCTTCTTTTGTGCTCTTTTTTTGTGACAAAGCTTCCAAAGGCCAAAAGGGGGCAGTAAATTATTTTTCTATACTTACCCATCCTAAACAACTGTGTTTTGTTAATTTAGCCACTTCAAAGGCGATGTTATACAGCTCCATATTTGGCAAAGCAAGACCCCCATCCCTTGTTACATACAGTTTTTGTTGATTTATCCTCGGTTTCTTTCAATTCCATAGATATTCATTTACCATCTGATTATATTGAGAATAATACTCTTCACTTATTGATATCGGAAGCATCATTGACAAATAATTAAATTGTGGCACAATCACTATTTTAATGGTATTAATTTTTCCCATAATGTTAAATTGAGTGCTTTTCATTTCTCCAGGCTGTACTTTATCTTAATAAGGAGAGGAGCCATATTAATGTGCATTATATCTGTTATATTAGCACACAGTTTAACTCCTAAATACTTTATCCCAGATGAGAGCCATTTAAAATTCCCTGCAGTCACCATGGTAGAATAACAAGCTCTAGAAATGGCCATAGCCTCTTACTTATGCCAATTAACTTTATAACCAGAAATTTGAGAGAATAAATCAACTTTGTCAAGAAGAGCCTGGGTAGAAGATGTCGGCTCTGAAATCAAAGAATATCATCTGCGTAAAGAAAAGGTTTATGTTCTCTCCCACCTGCTTCCACCCCTTTAATTGCTCCCTCTTTTCTTATTGCAATTGCTAATGGCTCCATAAACAATATAAACAATAACGGGGACAAAGGGTCTCCTTGTTTTGTACCCCTAAACTGTCTAAAAAAGGGGGAAATAAAACCATTTGTAACTACAGCTGCCCTCGGCTTTGCATATATTGCCTTAACCCATGTAAGGAAACCGCTCCCAAATCCAAATTTTTCCAAAATATTCCATAAACACTCCCATTCTACCCGATCGAATGCCTTCTCAGCATCAAGTGAGAAGGCAGCGACTGGCATATCACTCTCCTGACTTTTCCACATCAAATGAAGTAGTCTCCACATATTATCAGATGAGGACCTTCCTTTAACAAAGCCCACCTATAAAGCTCTGTTAGAATAGGCGCCAGAAGGTCTATGCTAACCCTATAATACTCAATAGGAAATCTGTCTATTCCTGGGGATTTATCCCCTTCATAGACTGAATTGCAGCTCGGACCTCCCCCTCAGTAATCTCAGGGTGTCCGCGGGGTTTTAAAAAGTATTAAAAAGTGATAAATAAAAATAGTCAAATTTAAGGCCATTAAAAGTGTTAAATTTGGTCTCAGAGGTATTATATTTTCCAAATTAGGTATTATTTTTTTCAGACTATCAGATGTTGTATTCTGAACATCGACATAGAAATATATTCCGAATGAAATGTTTTGAACGATTATAAAAACAAAACAAGCCGATTATTTGCTCCGCCCACTTGCGCTGCCCTGAGTTGCAAATGAAGCGCTCCTCCAC